TGCTGAGAATAGTATAAACCGAATATGTGAGCAATGAAACAGAAAATCAAAGCACAAAAGGATACTTAACATCCGAAAACAATAATTAAGATTTCTAGGGTAGATGATGATGATGAAACTGTTTGGAAATGATGATACTCATAGGGAAGTTTGAAGGCATAAGGAACAGAAGAAAATAACTCATAACCTACTTAGTGAACTTGAGTAACTGTATCGGAGAACAGGCTTTAGGAATTTTTACTAATTTTACTATGAGCTACAAAGGACAAGAAATTGTGGATCACCAACGTAGAACGGCTTAAGAAAAATAAAAAAAAAGTAGACTAATTTTACAAAAAACTACAAAGGTGTTATATACTGTACCTATGAACACTAATGGCTATGCCTCAATCCTCATAAATACGTTGGACACTATTGTAAGTGATGGGGGGTAATATGCTGTCTCAGTAGTCCACCACTAGCAGTGGATTACCTATTTCACACCGCTGGCGAGTATTGTAATTTGTTGATGTTATAAAGATTACCATTTCATTTCCAACCTCCGATTTGGCTATTCCTCATTCAGTAACCCTGTCTTGGTTATAGCAAAAAGGACAGAAAATTGGGGAGAGCCATGATCACCAACTTATTTAAGGGAAACGACACATAGAAGGAGAAGAATTCTAAGATATAACTTTTAATCTTTGGATAGTTTTTCATCTTGATATATATATATATATATATATATATATATATATATATATATATTTCATAATTTTCAACAGTGAATAGCTTCGGAAGTAGACTAATAAAATCCGATGAATGGTGCAAACATTATTTTAAAAGCCTAAGAGACAAATAAAAAAAAACGTGTTGATATTGCTTGTTCTTGCAATCGATACAAATAATAGACCGCTTCTATTCACAAGATTATTGAACTTTAAATGTTGTGTTTCTTTCCAAATCGATAGTTTCCAAACATTGCCAAACCAAATTCAAAACGGGACGATCATTCATTATGCTCAAGGTCGTATGACGCTTGTATTACGCACAAAAAAATATTAATAAAAATTTGAATGGAAATTATTTGAATTTAATTGCATCATTGATTGAAAATGTCGGTATACTTATCGGGTGAGTTTTCTCTCTGACGTGTTATCTTCGCCTTCCGGTAAAAGAAAAACCATTTTTGCTACAGAATGCTTAGACTGGCTCAAAATGGCAACCCCATTGTACTGGTCAGAACTCTGACGACCAAATCGCGTGGGCGGGGAATTCTGACTGATGTGGATATTCTTTGTTTAAATTAAAGACAAAAAAAAAACGCCCGTACGAACACTGCGGTTGCACGAATAGAAAGATAAAGACGCCTCATGGCTCACAGATACTTTCGTGTGACAAACTGCCGCATGGTGATTGCAAGTAACTGCCCCACCCACTTTCTCACCCACTCTCTTTACCTTCCTCTCTCTTTTGCTTCAAGACACCTGAAATTGCACTGTAGGTGTCCCGATATGGCGCGTTGCTTATAAACCGCAAAAATCCAAGATGACATCAACATGTTCAAAGTGTATTATGTGACTCGCACCAGAACGTTCCATAACAGCTTTAGCACTCAATATAAAAAAAAAAAAACAGGAACATCAGCTAGTTGTGCAGAAAGATAACCTCCAAGCCGTGATCCGTACCGCGCTTGACGTCAGCGGATGACCGCGATATGTAAATGTTGTGGATTCCGGGAATGGAATCCTGCACAAATAAATAAACAACGCCAGTAATTGAGATAGAAAAATAAGTGTATTAAACGTAAGAATACAGACTCGAAGTGAAGATTAGTAGTCCAGGAATGCGGGTTACTAGAATGTATATGTACAAGTCTCTGTAAGTAAAGCGGTAATCATCTCTCTCTCTCTCTCTCTCTCTCTCTCTCTCTCTCTCTCTGGACTCTTGTATAACTCTCTGAGAACACCCTGTGTCCTTCTCCGTATCTCTCAACCTGTCTCAACGTATCTCCACGTATCTCAACGTATCTCCACGTATCTCGATATTTAACAGTCCACCTTCAACCGGGTTCGACAGACGTCGCACACAGTCAGAGACTGTATCTCAGCGTATCTCGATATTTAACGTTCCACCCACGAGAAATGTATGTGACACAAGGACGAGTTTAAAGTGGGTTTCTCCGATCCCGTAGGCTCAGCCAAAAAATATCCCCTTTGAACCCACATAAGCGGGTTCGGGAACTGTCTACCTCCCCGGACGAAACTTTGCCCTTCGGCAAATCCTCGTCCGGGTTCATCTCTTCCAAAGCAGAGAGTTCGACAGACGTCGCAAAGAGTCAGAGACTGTATCTATACGTAACTCAGTATTTAATATCTCACCACGAGGAATATATGTGGCACAAGGCCGAGTTTAATGTGGGTTTCTCCGAGCCTGTAGGCTCGGCCAAAAATATACCCTTTGAACCCGCCTAGACGGATTCAGAACCTGTCTACCTCCCCGGACGAAACCTTGCCCTTCG